CTGTTCACCATCCCTCCCGCCATGTTCTCTCTTTATGCTTCTGGCTCCTCTTGTTTCTTGCCTCTGCCCTTTCTCCAAATCACCTGTCACTCCTCTGCAGGACTAGACCAGCACTGCCCAAAAGAAACAGAATGAGAGCCAGGTGTAGAATTTTAACTTTTCTAGCAGCCACATTAAAAAGTAAAATGAAATGGGTGAAACTGATCTGAATATATTTTATTGAACCCAAGAGACCCAGAATACTGTCATTTTAATGTGTGATCAATATGAAAAGAAACAGTGATATTTCACATTCTTGTCCTTTAAGCTAAGTCTTCAAAGTTCACTGTGTATTTTTACACTTACAACACACATTCCATGCGCTCAAGAGCCCCAAGTGGCCAGTGGCCACCATGTGAGTAGCACAGGGCGGGGCAGAGCTCAGTCCTGTGAGGTGGTAGACTGCCCACGCTTTGCTTAGTCCAGGATTCCAAACATACGTGCTTTTCATGCGAGCTTCAGTGAAAGGAAAGATGGAACTAGAGTTGAGGATTCCATGCTGTAATGATGTTACTCAACTTTATTTCCATCTGCATCGCCAAGCAACAGTTTCAAGAGAGAACAGCCTGCACCCTAAATGGGCAGATGAGACCCATCCAGCCCAGCGCCCCATCTGAACCATAACTGAGCAGCCTTTCTCTTCACTCGCAGACAGAAGAGGCTCTAGCCGACAATCACGACCCCACACCCATGGCCCTGGACCGCTACCTTAGTCCCCCACACATGGCAGTAGGTACTTGTGAATAATAAAGAAAAAAGGCTTCTGTCCCACAGACCAGCTTCAGGGTCATTTAACACGGGAAGCAAAGGTGACAACAAGGCCTAGGGGAGAATTTCTAAGAGAAAGTACAGCTCCCTCAGGACTTGTCCCCAAAGTGAACTCCTGGGGCTAAGCAATCAAGCAGACCAGGTTCTTGGGGATCTTCCTCTTGACCAGAGAGTCAATGATGGCGTGACTTAAGGCAAGTCATTCCACTCTCTGTATCTCATGGGAATTTTGTCCATGTTGGAATGGGGTCACCCAAGCAACCAGTCACATGGAGCGTGAATGGATATCTCATACCCAGTGAAGACCAATGAACACGGTTGGACCAGTTCTCTCATAGGACCTATGCTTTAGCTTGACCTTCTCTCTAGGAAACAAGGCTCCCTGCTGGAGCACATGTGTGTGGCTGAGCGGTCAGGGCCATCTCCTGGTGATCTGGGACCCTTAGCCCTTCCTGGGTGCTGCCCGGGCGGCCAGACAGCCTCTCCCCTCTGCTGCTCAGCTGAGCAGTCACGGGGCCTCGTGGCACCGCTGCGGGCGATACCGCACCCAGCCCGCCTGCTTCTGTGGTCTCTTCCTCTGTGACTGCTACAGCGTATGTTTTATTAAAAGGGAAAAGGAGGGGAGATAAGAGGTTATGTACATGGGCATGCTCAAGAATCTTAAGATTGAAAATCTCCTCAGTGCTTAATGCCTGAGGGCTCTGGCATTTTGCCGGCTCCAAGTAAACCCCAGTGGGGACATTTGGGTGGGGAAATTGGAAATGAAGGGAAATCAAGGTTCTCTCCTAGGAGTTTCTGATTCTAAAAAAAAATACGGGAAGATTTGTTCATGTTCTCTTGAAATGTGCCTGCTTTCCCCCAATATCTTTCTCCAAAATTTGTGACATGATGCTGAGAAGCTCCCTGACCCTGAGCACTATTTTTCCCCATAAACTATGGATTAGACTGGAGGGTGGGTGCAAGGCCAGGTGATCTGCAAGGCCTAATGAGATATCCAGCATTTCAGAGCCCTCTGCCTGGTCCGAGGACAGCTTCCTCTAGGCCAATAGACGCTTCAAATAATTAACCCAGGTGTATGCTGTTTCCAGGATCCAAGTTGAAAAGAGGCTGAGGGCACACTCCAGGGAAACAAGAAAGCCTCGAAGTTTCCAGCCTTCTCAGCCGTGCTGCAGTTAGCATCTCTGTCAACTGGAATCTTTTTCTCCATTTCTCCGTCTCCAACCGAATCCCACCCTGTCCCCCGTGGCACAGCTCAAATTCTCCCTCCTTGGAATATCAAGAGCTCTCATTATTCCAATAACCAATCAATTGCAGGTTAATTAGGTCAGCCCCATGAATCTCTTCTACTGAATGGCTGTTGAGAATGCACGTTGTCATTTACCCTTTTTCCAGAGGTAAGCCTATTTTCCTAACTAGAATGTAAGATCGTTGAAGGCAAAGAGAGAGTCTTTATAAGACTTTTATCCCTCGCAGCCCTCACGTCAGCACCAGAGGCGAAGCCCAAATCACTGCAATCTCCCATTCCAAAGTACAGAACAGCTAAATCAAATCAGAGTTACTAGGATTAAACCATTCCTTAGAAGTTGGTAGAGTCTGGGGTTGGTTTAGGAGCAATAAGACCCGGACCCCTCTCCATAGGTTCCCTTAAATGCTGTGAGACCCAGAGTAAAACAGTTCCTCTTTCCAAGGTCTTCTGCCCTCCCTTTTCCAAGAAGGAGGCCACCATCATTGTAGCTCGACTTCTTAGGGTAATCAGAGACAAATGAGACAATAAGGCGTAATTAGATAAGCTCCCTAAAATGGTCCCAGCCCTTTGGGAAAGTGTGCCATTATAAAATGTATCCAAGGTCTTGTTATTTAAGAGAAAGAGTTGAATCGCCAAAAATACCCACACAGTGGGGGAAGCAAAACACTAACCAGGAAACCTCCACACTAAGCACCCCAGTCAGCAGCAAGTGCCCACGCAGATGTCTTGAGTCCCTCCAGATTACCTCTCGTTTGTGAGCTGGGGAGGGATTTTGGAGCACTGTCTCAGAGGGGATGGGTTTTTGTGTGTGTGTGTAACGCTCCCCAGTGGCTAGCCTGTGTCTTGGGAAAGGGTATCAGAAGGAGCTGATGACGCAGAGATGTTCTTTGCCCTCTGGCCTTGCTCAGTAAACAACCTGTTAGGAGTTTCTGTTTGCAACCAGGAAGGAAAACTCAGAGGATGATCTCAAGGGCCAAAATGGAGAAGATGGTCCCCATCCATGAGACCGGCCCAATGCTGGCAGAGTGGGAACCCGCCTCCCTCCCCAGCCCTTCCCTCCTTCCCTCCTCTCCTGTGGCCACACTGCAGCACACATCACTCCATTCTAGGAGACAAAACCAGCCCGATTTTGGGGTGAGGAGGGAGAAGCAAGAGTCAGGGATGCTTCTGTCTTCTCCATGGCTGCAGAACAGCTGTCAAACCCTTTGGAGCCAGGATGGAAGACCATGATCTGACATTTGCTTCCTTTCCCTCACACATCTCACAGTGTCCAGGCTCTCTACTCACTCAAACCGTATCCCGCCTCAAAGAAGCAAGGCATGCATCTTCCCCCAGAGTAGGCGGCAGCTACGATATTGATAAGATTTTAGGATCGTTGGTGGCAGCATTGCTTGGTCATGCCCCCAGTGCTGCAAAGCAACTTATTCTGGATGGGAGGGAACTCCGGAGGGCCCTGCCTTAAACAAATAACGTGCACATAACTGGGTGAAGTCAGGAGGGAAAACACACAAACTCCAGCATCAATTTGCTGTTGCCTGATGTCATCAGACTGCCCCCCAGGGGATTTTGTAAAACACTCGAGCTGCTTGGTTAATACTGGCATTGCATGTATTCTAGAGAGCATGGTCAGAAAACGCGTCCCTTCAACACGCACATGTCTGGAGAAGGACAGAGGCTGAAATACTTGACTTACAAAATACCTTCTATCCTCCTGACTGGTCTCTGATGACAGATCACTGTCCCTGCTGGATAAGACTCAGATCACCCAGCTAGAAGCCTGGACTGTTATAACTGCTATCCTTCTTAACAAAACATTTGTCCCTGCTCAGGGCGCCCGGCTCCCAGAGCCAGGAAGAGCACACACACAGTTCCTTACGGAGGGGTCTGTTCAATCACGTTACAGTGCATTAGCTGGATTATTAGTTAATATTTGGCTCAGGTCTGTATACCCTGGATAAATATGTACCATGCAGAGGGACTGCTTGGTAAGGAGAAAACTCCTCTGGGCTAGAACAGCAGCTCCCAAGTTCATGTTTGTATGAGGAAGGAACACTCCAGGCATCTGGGGCCTTGGAAGAGAGCTGCACATGCATGCTTCTCCCGTCGGCAGCCAGCTCCCTGCACACAGCTGTGAGCACAGGCACACACATACAAATACACACGTACCATAAGCAGGACTAGACCGTGTACCCAAATGATCACAAAATCGGGGAGAGAAATCGAGATCGCCAGATAATCCCAGCACACCCCTCCTTCCAGGACAGCAATGTTCTCCCCAGTGTCTCCAGCACGCTGCCAGGCTCAACTCAATCAGTGGGGTTTCCGCCACCACCCTGGGGGGACAATTTGCAACCTACAGGGTTCACTCATCAATTTTTTTTTTTTTTGGCTGCATGTACATGGGAGAAAGAGACAGGCCTCTACAGGCATGCCCCGGAGCCCCATGGACATGTGAATATAGCTCTACGAACATGTGAATATCTGTGAACTTGTGTACCATGTATCATGACCTCAGCTCTTTGGGGTCCATCCCAACCGTAGCGAACTGGGTACAGTTCAGTTCAGCATCTGCTGGTTAGGCAAAAGTCCTCTTCATCTTCTGCAATTATGCAGCCCAATTGGATTTTCTGAAGCTAATGGGAGTTGCACTAACTTTGAGGACTTAAACCAGGCAAAAGCAATGTAGGTCAGAGGCAGTGCCCAAGTCGTGTGACGGCCATGCAACACCAGGCGGCAATAACAGGACGATCTCCTGCCAAACCCCAAAGTCCACTGCTCAGCTCCACAAGACAGAAACTAAGAGAGGGGATCATTCCCTCTGCCTGCAACTGCCAGGCGCCAGGGCAAGAGGGCTGTTGGAGGGCAAAATGATCCCCTTGCCAAGGTACACACCAAAAAGACAACGAAAAGGGGATGGAAGAAAATCATCAAAATCCTGCACTGTTACCTTGAATCCTTGCGAGAGCTCTCCTTGCTGTATCAGCTGCTCCCCAAACCTCCACCGACTGGGAGGAGACTCCTAAAAGATTCCAGGTTTTTGTGCAACATCTCCAGTGGCTGCTTTCCAAAGTTTTTACTTCATGATTTCTTGTGGCTCCTTCTCATTTGGGGGAACGCGAATGGCTCCCCCTCGGCGTGTGAGAGGGAGCGGATGTCTCTTTTCAAATTCTCTTGCTCCCCGCTTTGCTGCTGCTGCTGCTGCCGCCGCCGCCGCCGCCGCCGCCGTCAGACCACTTGCCTGCTGCCTTCCAGCTGAGCAGCAAGGATTCCCGGCACCCACAGCATGTTTGAAGTGGGGTTTCGACGCCGGGCAGGGGCGCACGCGGGTGGAGAGGGAAAGAAAGTGCCAAACCCGACCCGGGGAGTCTCCTGTCCCTCCAACGATGAGAAACCCGAGATCTTGCCTTCCTTCCAACTCTAAAGAGACTCACCTGCCCTCTGTCTCTCTCCCGGAATCGCTGCTTTGCACATGGGCAGAGACAGCTCCTCTGGCTTCACCGCTCCCGCGGCTGCCTGCAGACCTGCCCGGGCGCTCGCCGCGCACGGCAGGTGCACATCCCTGGGCAAGTGCTAGCGGGATCCTCCGAGCTCAGCGGAGGCGCTGCCCGAGGAGCCGCGAGCAGAGCAGCGTCCCAGGCGGGCGGATTCCATCCCCGGCTGCAGCCCGGCGCGTCCCCGCTCTGACTCCGTGCTGGTACCTAAGCAGTTTCACCTGCAGACTCAGGCTCCAGCTGAGTGTCTTAAGATAACAATGCTGCCCTGCCTGCCTCTCGCTTGCTTTCTTATGCACGTAGGTGGGCAGCCAATGGGACGCAGCGCCACACTCCCCGCGGGCGCCCATTGGCTGGGAGGCTTGGCAGGGGGCGGGCTCGGGGCCTCACCGGCTGTCTCCTTTGGTTAGCTGGCAGGCTGGGGTACCAGCTCTGTTAACCCTCCCAGCTTTGCAGCAGGGACTTTTTTGGTGTGGGTAAGGGAGCCTTGGTTAAATTCACGGCTGGGGAGTTGGAGAGTGGAAGAAGGCTGAGGAACAGGAAGAAGCTTGGGAGCTAATTACATTTTCTTCTAATCTTCTTGAGTTACAATAATCATTTGTCCCAGACCATTTTGTTTGTTTGCTTAACTAGAACTTGCAGAGATAGGGACCCATTTGAGCCATTTTCCTTCTAATTCGAGGTTTTATTCGGTTGTGCTGTGCATTTTAGCCTCTTGGTCTCGGTCTTGAATTATTTAATTAGAAATGAGCCCCCAAGTGAGAATACTTATCTCAAAGTGTATTCTCTCTCTCTCTCTCTCACTCTCACACACACCCAGAGATACATGAGAGAGAGAGAGAGGGAGAGAGAGAGAGAGAGGCAAAAGATAGCAGGAACTCAGTGAGTAGAGAGGAACAGATTTAGAGACTCTAAAAAGCTAAATCAAGAAACATTCTGTCCCCAGACCAAGATTGTGAAGACGGCAAAGAGAAGAACTTCAGGTTTCTGGGGAGAAATTAAGGGAAAAAATGTCCTGCTTTCAAAAAAGCCAATTGTTTTGCCTGTGGTGTTTCCCTTCTGTGTTTCCTTTCGCTTTAGTGTGTCAGAAAGAAGGATTGTGACTCTCCACTTGGTTTTTAAAGGAAGACTAGAGAAATCGGAACAGATACAGCCTTGTTTCTGTAAAGCAGGTGCTGTTGCTGAGCCTGCAAATTGAGAGGAGAGAGAAAGACAGACAGGGACAGAGTGGGAGGGGGAGAAAGAAAGAGTAAAAAAAAATGTTAACTGAATCAAAGAGTGTAAAATATATTTTTAATGACCTAATGAGGATGCAAAACTGAATTATGTCCAGCTAACTAGCAGACTACACTAAATTTTGGCAGAGCATGGGAGAGTAGTAGTTGAAGGAAAAAAGAATCCAATTCAACAGAACTGCTGGGAGGTGGAGCTGGCAAAGGAATGTGAGGGGTTCACACTAACTTGTGTGATGGGAAAAATATGGAGAGGATAACAGAATCAGAAAGAGAACTGTTTCAATTGTTTTTTTTTTCTAAAAATGTCTCTAAGAGAGACATTAAAGATTATTTTTGTTAAGAACTAGAATGCAGAGGTTTAATGAATGACAAAGTGGTATATGTCAGGATTATCTACAAAGCATCAGGGCGCCAGGTGTTCTAAACGAATGGGGAAAATTAGGAACATCTCTCATTTACACACCTTTAGCCCCACCCATCTCTTTCTCTTTCTCTGTCTTCCTGCCTCTGTCTTATATAGGTGTGACCTTCCCTCTCCGCTCTGTAGGTATCTGCCTAAGCTATCAAACATGTCAGAGAACGGTCCAGAGGATAAAATCTCTAAGTGAACCGGCGAAAGCCTACATGTGTTGCTGTCCAACTGCTGCATTATTTGTTCCTGTGCTTCCCAGAGACAGAGACCCCCCTGAATTTTGTCCCAGGTGACAAGACACTGAATGTTGAGACTCTTGTGAAATAGTCAAAAGGAGTGCGCAAATGAAAGGAGCAGTTGAACAAACGATTGCCAATCTCCACAGAAAGTTAAAATTTCCAAGACCTCTAAAGGAGAAGGAAAGAAGATATAAAGTTGGGAGACAGGAAAACAATTTGAAAAAAGAAAAGCTTACCTCTAATTTCTTCTCCTATGGAGTCCTAAGCCATGTAAAAAACAATCTAACGAGGTATAATAGACATTACAAAATTCTGCAAGTGTACAGTTTGATAAAGTTTTGCTTATATAATGCATCCATATGATCACTACCCACAGCATTGCCAGGAAGCTCCTCCTGTATTCCTGGTCAAAACTCCCCTCCTCCCAGAGATAACCACTATTCTGACCTCCAGCATCAAAGATTGTTACATGGTCTTGAATTTCATAGATACAGAATCTTAGCACATACACTCTTCTGTGTCTGGTTTCATTCACTTATTATGTCTGCGAGATTCATCCATGTGTTTGCTTATTTTTCATTGCTGTGTAGTATTCCATTGAAAGACTATATGCAACTTATACATTTTCCCATTGAGGCATATTTTGGTTGTTTCCATTTTTATCCATTATGAGTAAAGTTGCTATGAATGTTCTATACATTCTTTTGGTGGACATATGCCATGATTTATCCTGGGTATATGCCAAAGAGTGTAAATCACTTAATTTGCTTTTTGCTACTACATGGGAAAAAAAAAAACTCATGAAAAAAATTCTTAAGCCTATTTCTTTCTGAAATAATTGAAAAGCGGGTAATGGCAAAAGCTATTACCACTGAGTGCCAATTAAATGCCTAAAATGTTAGCTCCTTTACATATATAATCTCATTTCCTTCTCACACCTACTCTAAAATGTATGTATTATTGTTTCCATTTTGCTAATAAAAATGTTGACTGTAAGACACTGTATTTGGAAATGGCCCTTGGCCACCTAAGGTTTTGTGTGTGTGTGTGTGTGTGTGTGTGTGTGTCAGGGCTCTGTGAGAGGAGATAAGAGAGAAGGGAGGGATGGAAGGTCTCACTATATAAATTAAGATTGAGATATGGCTGTAGAGATGGGACAACCTGGAGAACACTGAGTGGAGTGTTTCAAAATGGCAAAGGAGGAGTGAAATTGAAGAATGGGCTTAAATTTGATTGGGATGTGTATGGGTGTTTTGGGACCAAGGGGGATAATGTAGTAAGCAATACACTAAAAATATAAATAGTATGAAATTTGAAAGAGTTTTTGAACTTCCAAACCATGGCGTTTGAATTTTATCCTGTAAAGAAAGAAAAACTTTAGAATGGCAGGTGGAAAGCAAGATTTCATGACGATCAATCTGGTAGCCGTCTAAAGAATAGGTTACTAGTGGGGAAAGCTTTCCAAAAGCTATTGTAAGAGTCAAGGAGTGAGGTCACTGGTGCTAGAAGATAGAAAGCTGGACCTCAGGAGAAAAGTCAGGAATAGAGACAAGAGAACCTCCTATTTTGTAGTGTCTTAGCGAATATAAGTACTTGCACTATGTTATCTGTGGTCAGGGGTATAGGCAGAGATCACCGATCCCATTTTATTGAGGGGGACAATGAAGAGAAGAATGGTCCAGGCTCACCTCCAAATAAGCAAATTATGGAGTTGAGACTCAGCTCCAAGTCTATTGTTTCACTCCGTCATGTTGCCTATACACAAAGGTAATTATTTAGATGCATACAAATTTCCCCCAGTCCCATTTAAATGCTAAACATCATACAGAACAGTCTGGTTTCTGTGAACTTCAACCTCTCCCCCATCTCTAGGTATTTAATTCCCTAGGACAAGACCATGTGACAGTGTATGCATGTTTACCGGAATCCAGTGCCCTGGCAATATGCTATCTCTGTCTACTTGCATAATCCTCTTGCTCAACCCTCCAAAGAGAAAGAGGTCTGTAAAGCTTGAGACACCAACCTCTAGCTCTTTCCAACTCAATATGCATTTTTAAATGGCCATTTGATCCAGGCCCTCTTTTTCTTAAATCTTATATTCTTATATCTGTGAATAAGAAAGCATGTATAAATGTAAGCATAAAAATGACTGTAGATAGGAAAAGTAAAATAGATATTGACTTTTCAGAAAATCAACACCAACTGATTCACTTGGGTTTTCTAAAATAACTCAAGACACTTTAGAAAATTAGGAAGAATGATTTCAAAACAACTGTATATTATATGTTACTCAAAAGCAGGAAGAATCTTTTTCCTAGACTCTGCCTAGGCCTAGTCTAGCGCACAGCATACGGTAGGTATGCAAATGTTTACTGAATGAATTACTGGGAGCCATTAAGTCCAATAATTATCCATGGTTGCACCTAGACGTCCCATAGCTGTGCAGTGGAAAGAGCCCAAGGCAAAAAAATCTCATTTGTGGTCTTAGCTCCCCAACCCCTTCTTGGCAGATCTATCTTGGGTAAACCACCTCACTATTTCACTGTCCTCAACTTCCTCATCTTTTAAATGAGAGACTGGTAATAGATGATCTGTTAGTTTTATGCCATTTCTCACATTCTAAGACTAAGTGTATTTTCTTGGCATGTACTCTAATTTTTCAACAGGAAACCTTGTGTAACTAAGTAAATACTGCTTTTTAGGCTAGAGAGAGTAGGCAATAAAGGTATCGTGGGGGCTTTCTCTCCCTCAGCATCTCCGAGAGGGTCAATGAAGATGAAGGTGAGTTGCAGAAAGGTCATTAGCTCATAAAACTTTCTTGCATCAGTTTGCAATGCTACATGGTAATATAACCCTGGGTTAGTTCTCAGGTACGTCAAATTCAAAAACTCAACTTCTCATAAAGTATTTTTGTTCTTTTTTGTGGTAAACAGGTCTTTCTCCCCCAAAATATGACCTTAATTAATTATGGTTCATTTTCTCTATTCCCATTCATTGACTAGAGTAACCTTGTGAAATATATGGCAAAGTCTTATTTATTTTTTCCTTTTAAAGGACATAACATTCACAGATGTCAATAAATAGGCACCAGGTAGAGAGAGAATGTAATTGTTTCTAAAGTAGGGGGTCCTCTTTGAAAAGGGTGGTGCATTAAATTCCTAGAGAATAGGAACTATTTAAAACACAGTCTTACAGCACCTAGTAGTTAAGTCAGCACTGAATAAATGATGCTGGAGGGACAACTCTGGAAACAAGTTATCAGTTATCACGTGAGAGAAAGTTCAGTTAATCATCAGATTCCAGCACACACAAGCATCACTTTTCTACCACAGTTTATTACATATTGTCATCATTTTTGGAAGCTGACACTGTCTGGTACTAATGGAAACAAAACTTACATGGGTTTTTGTTGTTAATGTTGTGGTGGTGGTTGTTGCTCTCTACATGTCCTACTCTTGTCTGGGCTGGGATGGACTTGGCCCGAGCCCAAGAATATTCTTTTATTCCTTTTCCATTTGTTAAGCGTGCTTAGAAACTTTGTTTTTCTCACATTTTCTTCCAGCTCTGTTCTGTTCACTGGATTTCCTAAAACTAAAAGATCCAACATTTCCTTGAGCTAGCTCTACTTTTTCTATCAAATATAGCATTTCCCAAATGATCTTTATATTGGTTACTACAGATAACATTTGTAACAGGAATGAAACGGAAGAGGCAGAGAGAGATTGCAGATATGAGTTCTGCTCTCCTGCTTAACTGTATACAGTACACTGGCTTTGTTGTTTATTTTCATACCAAATATTTCCTTTAAATATTTCTGCAAAGTTAGTGCTGAGTAATAATACACACGTGCATT